GTGTGAGGGAAATAGAGAAGGGGGGGAATATATTGAGAGAGAGTTGGGGAAATTTTATTTTAGAAAATAAGAGAATGGGAGGGGGAAACCCGTTTTTGAGTCTGGATTTACAAAAAGCGACCAACGTTGGTCGCTATTTTTGGTTAGCTAATTAAGTTTTGACTGTTTGACCAAATAGCGACCAACATTGGTCGCTATTTCTAAAAAAAAAAATTAAATAACTTTTTTTTTCTATTTTGTTTTTTTTTAATATTATAAGCTATAAAAAATCTTATTAGCTATAAATATTTATTTTATTTAACTACAACTATTATAAATAATTAAAAACTATAAGCAAATCTTTAAAAAAAATTATATTAACTAGTAATTACTTTTAATAGAATTATAATAGCATGTATGTAAAGGAATTTTTAAGTTACATTTAAGTATATGAGTAATTTCATACACACACATAAACTATATTGTAATTGATGATCAATCTTATACATTACTACGTACGAATAATTAATGAATTGATAAACCAATATAATATTATTCATGAATTTTATATATATAATATATATATATATATATATATATATATATATATATATATATATAATAGAGAGAGAGAGAGAGAGAGAGAGAGAGAGAGAGAGAGAGAGAGAGAGACACACACACACACACGACACTTCGCTGTAATACTATAACGTATATATAGCATGTTATAGTATATGCTACTGTGTTCATTATTTGTATTATAACACAGCTAATGAATTACATTCATTCATCACTAGGTTATAAGTCGATGAATCAATTATAACATATTAATTGATATAAGTCGAGACGTTTTGTTTTTAATATTCAAAGATGCATCTGAGTAGGTTATAAGTCGATGAATCAATTTACAAGTGTATCAATACCTAAAAGAACCCGGCCATGTGTTCCGAGCGCTTCATGTTCTTATATATATATATATATATATATATTATATTATATATATATATATATATATATATATAATAATATTATAATATATATATATATATATATATGTATATATATACACACACACACACACACACACACACACACATACACACACACACACAAAGACACTTCACTGTAGTACTATAACTTATATATAATTTGTTATAGTATATGTTAGTGTGTGTATATATATACACACACACTTCGTGCTACTTTAACTACATATATAGCATGTTATAGTACATGATACTGTATTCATTATTTGTATTGTAACAGAGTTAATGAATTACATTCATTCATCACAAGGTTATAAGTCGATGAATCAATTATAACAGATTAATTGATATAAGTCGAGACGTTTTGTTTTTAATATTCAACGATGCATCTGAGTAGGTTATAAGTCGATGAATCAATTTACATATATATATATATATATATATATATATATATATATATATATATATATATATATATATATAACACGCTTCGTGTACTACTTTAACTACATATTAAGCATGTTAGAGTATATTTTAGTATATTCATTCTTGTATTACAAAAGTGTTAACGGATTACATTTATATTATTTAGATAGTAAATACAAAAGTAATTTTTAATTTTGCCCAATGTTGACCTGAAAAGAGACCAACTTTGGTCGCTAATTATCCAGAAATTAAAATTAGCGACCAAAGTTGGTCGCTAATTTAAATCAGATTTATTTATATTTATATAATATTTAAAATAATAATATAATTGTTAAACGTTAGAACTGGGTCCCAGATTAGCGATCAAAGTTGGTCTCTATCTGCTTCCCCTTTCGTAAGCGACCAACTTTTGTCGCTAATTTTGAATTATATTTATTTATATTTTATAATTTTTTTAAATAATAATATAATTATTAAAATTTTGAATACATGGTTTGGTGGTAAAAAAAAAATGCGACCATAATTGGTTTGGTTTGGTTTTAACTAAAGAAAGTCAAACCGAAACCAAACCAACCAACATTACATATATAGAAATTTTAGATATATTTAATATATAAATATACTTATTGTGATGTAATTTATAAATATTAAATTTTCATAATTTTATCTTTTAAGGTATTATTTCAAGGTTGGACCTAGAACTTTTAAATGTTCCAATAAGTTTTATAGTCATTATCATTAGTAAATTAAAGAGAAATTTTCATAAAGCACTATCTTTTAGTGGTAATTAGCTATCTATAGATACCATTTGCTATATTACGGATTGTAGATACGTTTTCTGTCGTTATAAGATGTATTAGATGTATTTAAGCTACTGTATTCATGAATACAATAGCAAAAATGGGCGTGAATCAGGGAAGTCCAGCTAATCAGTTGTTGTATTCGAGTGTATTCGGCTGTATTCATGGCGTGAAACATGGGATTACAGCTGGACAGATTATTGTATTCGACTGTATTCACGGCGTGAAACGGGGATTACACTATTTTTAAACGGAAGGTGTATCAATTAACATAATAGACTCCTAATATAACTCAACAAACTCAATTAACACACAAAATTTATATTTCCGGTTATAAAAAAGATTCTCAACCAAAAAATACCTCAAAAAACATAGCAATCTTCAGAGAAATTATATAATACATCTGAATACATAAATTATATTAATTAAAAAAAAATATATGAATACATTCATGGCATATAAGAGACAGTGAATACATATAATACAGCGGGATACATTGAAATACAATGAAAAAAAAGACAGTGAATACAATGAAATACATAGAATACAACGGGATACATTGAAATACAAAGAGAAAAAAGACAGTGAATACAATGAAATACATGGAATACAGCGAGATACATTGAATTACAATGGGAAAAAAGACAATGAATACAATGAAATACATGAAAATACAGCGTGATATGTTGAAAATACATTGAATTATATTAACAGAAAATCAAGTTGCTCAGCCCCAAACTCCGTCGTCTTTGTTCAAGAACAAAGCCTAATTTCCGGCAAATCCGCCGTCGAGCAATGGTGGCAGAATAAGGACTCTGTTAAAGCTTGAATCTTGTATTTAAGATGACGAAAGTTGAGAGCCTCTAGTTTATCCAATATTAGGACTCTTCTTTCTCCAGAAGATGAACCTCGAGAAGATGACGCCGTCGAGCAATGGTGGTAGAATAAGGACTCTTCTTTCTCCAATATTAACATACCTATAGCTTTACTAACCTCGAGTTTATTAGCGAACCATTCTTCGTTAGCTTTAGTCATGTTCCAATTACAATGGCGAAGAAGAGCCAAAGCAACGTCCGATGGAATTGGAGAAATTGGGATCGGAGAGAACGTAGGTGATGTGGGTGAGAGGAATTTTGAGATTGAGCATCGCGTTTTCAGGGAATGGGGAAAGAGAATGGCATGTATCAAAGTAGAGAGCGAAAGAAAATAGTGTAACTGAATAGCGTATTTAGTGGCTTAGGGGTAGGAGGTAACCAAAATTAGATATTTTGCTATAAACATTAAAAGGTATCTATAGAATATAATTTTTTTAAATGGTATTTATTTAAAATAAATAAGGTGTTAACCTTTGCTATAGGAGGTAAAAATTTCTAAATTAAATAATGCTAACAAAAGCCCAAACCAAAATCAAATCAATACTAATGCTAACAAAAGACATTCAATTCAATACTACGAATGAAAATGTATTGAATATCTATTTTTTGTTTTGCAATAATTTAGATAAAAACGCATAACCTATTTTTATTTTTTCTTGCGTTTAGTCATGTAATTAATACTCCCTTATTAGTCTACTTAATTTTAGCATGACTTAGTACTTTTTTATTATGTTTATTTTTGTTATGGCTTTTTAATTAGCAATATTTATATTACATAATTTTATTGTGTCTTTATTGTTGAATATTTCAGGATAATGCCATGACACATCTCATATTTTGTATTATTTTCTTGAAAAATACTTTATATAATTGTATTTTACTAGGATGAAAGAACTATTTTGAGCACTTCATATGTTTTATTCTACGAAGATTTTACCGGGAAAAAACCCAAAAAAAAACTGAATAACTCGAGAAAAATCGAGAGTGAAAAACTCGAGTTTTATTGGTTTGGTTTGATTTTAGATTTAACAACCCGACACAATTGATTTGGTTTGGTAATTGTAAAATCCGAACCAACCCGACATATGTAAACCCCTAGCCAAAGCAAACATTTAGCTTAGCCTCCAAGCTTACTAAGACATGATCCACAAGTAATATAGATTGCCAGAAACAAAAAAGGATTCCACACTTCAAAATAACTTAAATGTACTCAAAGAAGAAAAAATGGATTTTATAGACACTTATTTACTAACGACATTAAAATAGAATTTTATGGAAGAATTCTTTTTGTTAATATATATATATATATATATATATATAGAGTATTTTGAACTGTCAAATTGTTGGTCGGACCAACATTAATATGTGAGAGACGTTATATCAATCACCATCCACTTTCAGGTAATGATTCAAAGGATTAAGATTTGTTTAGATCACTACTTTAAACCGCCATTGTGTATTTCAATGTGTTGTTTGTGTCTTTTAAGTTACTAATTTCCTTTAAGAAGACAGAAATATTTAATACAGCGTGTATGGATCGTAGGCACTTGCTAGCATAAGCATGTTGATGGAGGCAGTATATATAAATCAACCATTTCCAGAGAATGAATTGCAGGGTATTCATCCTAATTTGTCAATATTTGCATCTGATGATAATTTGCAGGCCAAAGTTCTGCTAATTATGTTGATGGAGGCAATTATGAAATGTTTAGGACTCCTGAAATCTTTTCGACGTAAAGCCTATTCTATAAGTACTCCTGAATTGCGCAGACCACTTTGACATGAAATAGGATCAGAGTAATTGGTAAATTCCGGCAGTAATAAGCTGAACAAGGAGCGTATGCAGCATTAAGGTGGCGGCCTGACGGGTTCAATTCGATGCAGAGTATAAAGTTATTTGTAAAAATCTACTAAAAATTGCAACAAATAAGCCATAGCTTCAAAATATAAAGGGTTCACTGCTAAATATGTTGAAGGTTGAAACTGTAGAGTTTACATCCAAAATCCGCCTCTGAGCTGGACCTCTTGCAATGAATACGTCAAGAGGATTTTCTATTAAAAAAATTCATGTCTCTGCCATAGTGAAATCTAAAAGGTACCCTTGAAAAGAAAAAATCTGTTAGTGATTTCTAACAGCATAAAAAACCGTTTGATAACAATGTTTCAACTATGATAAAGGGTAAAACAAAGATTTAACCTCGTTCGGTGGTATATAGAACGAAAAGGTGGCCAACAGAATAATTAAAGGATATTATTCACAGGCTGTCAACAAGCGGACTACGGTGGAGAAACCAAATCTGAGCAAGTTCATCGTCACAGGCTGAATTAGCTACTGTCAACTAAACTGCATACTTTACAGGCCTTTAAGACCATTCAACTATTGGTGGTTCTTCTGCACTTTTTCTTTGCACACCTCAAGTCTCAAAAACATCCATTAAGCTACACCTACATAACTTATGCCTCCCATCATTATTGATCTGCAACATGGAGAATATGATTAGCTCGTTCCGTCGTTCATATATGTAGACATGATAATCCAAGTGCATGACAGGTAAAAGATGACCATGCAAAAAGGCTTGTAACTACTGATTTGCAGTGAAAGCCCAAAAAATAACAGCATTATTGCAGCAGCTAAGACATAAGTTAGAACACCACACTACATACAGCACATTTATCCAATGTGCTACTGGTGTTGGTCTAGAGAACAATCGCTTATACAAACTAGTGATGGGGCATGAAAATTAAGAGCCACTAAAGGCTGTATTCTCCGGTAAACCAAATTACAGCAGAATTCATCCTAGAAGAAGTGACATTTACCATTCAGGTCTGTACAGTTAACACGGGAGATGACCAAGAACTCCTGGGACATCAAAACTTTGTCATCTCATGCAGCATTTGTGAAGCATTAGACTGTGAGACCAATTTCTCTGAACTTGGAGGTCTGATCATGTGATTTGAGTCTCCCACCCCTGGTCTGACGGTCTCCTTAGCACTAGTATGTGTACTTGTTTCTGCTTGTGAGGCCTCCATCAACGTACGTATCTAAGTCAAATTAACAACGATTCTAAAAGTTATCCACCAAGATTGAGGCAGGTTGTATTATCATATAGAATTGCACTCACCACATCCAAACGCTTTTTGTGGAGATCACTTGGTGACTGCACAGAGTTAGAAACACATTGTCAAAGAAAACATTAATTTTCACCCAGCTTTAATAACTACAACCAATGACAAATAAGTAGATTACCAGCAACTGGTGGACTACAACCAGCAACCAAACCAATGAACAAGGATGAGGTAAAGATATTTTGTCAGAGTACATCTAGTAGTCATAATTCATGTTATCTCATTATTCTACATTACTGCAGATAGAAAAAGGGACTATACCACCACGTAAAAGCTAAGAAAGAGAGGCAGAGATACATACATGTTCTGGATAGTGTTTCCTCTCCTCACTTGAAAAGCCTGGAATAGTCAAATGCCAGTTTTTCTCTGTAGAAATCACAATTAGATTAGAAAAATACCTCAGTTTCCTATATTTCTTTGAAAATGATATAAAACATCATTAGATGATATAAAACATTTCCCTAATATACCAATTACAACTTATCCTAAATATGTCTGTGGGTGTTTGCACATGCAAGTGCGCCCACTGCAAACATTTTAACATTCTCGCTAATACTTGAAGACATCCTAAAGTAGCTCTCTATGCGCGATAAAATAGAGTGCATTAGGCAAAAAAAGCTGGTCCTTACTGATATTGATGTTTATATATTCCAAATATTTGAGATAGTTAGTACCTTAACAAGAAATGTTACCTGCTGTAGTTAAAACATGAAATGGGTGGAAACTTTTAAAACCACTTGATCTCTATCTCTCAGATGCATGGTCATATTGCTATACCATTAGGGACAATTAGATATTTAAGTTCCTGGAATCACGTTCAGGAGCTTAAGCTTCAACTACTCCTAATGATAATAGAGAGCTTGGTATTCAACTATAACTTGTCCATTGAAAATTTTGCTAGCTACTCATAAATATGAAAGTGGTGACATGTGTGTGCCATAAGCAGATGAAAAGCTAAGATGCATAAGAAAGTGAAGGAGATGATACGATAAAAGTTGGTATCAAAGTGAAAATGCTAGAAAAAACTGCCATTATCCAGTACAGCGTATAGCTCCATAAACATAATACCCTTTTGCCCATTCTATGTCCACAGGATAGCTGTTTTCTTCCTAAACGAGGATTATCTCACTACATAAACCTGTAAATAGCATACTAATCAACAAAAAGAAAATAGAAATATACTAAAACAAATATAACCATATAAATGCAACCTTTGTACCTAATAATGCAATCTGTACAAGTAAAAACTGTACCAAGTGATAAAAACGGTCTTTCTAAATAATGGAAACAAACTAAGAATAGATCCTTTATTTCCAGTTGCAGGCACAAACCTAGATGTAACAGTACATCCTTGGACTCCAAAGTCGAAGATTTCCGATGCTTCGCCAAATTGCAAGCAAATGTAGTAACCTACAATGAAGCGTTGAACATAAGTACGTAAAAAGCATGATAAATAATCAATGTAAAACAAATTCATGTATGTCAGTTTTTCATGAACAATTATCCGCACAAAGAATTTTAGATGACGCTGGTGACATACAAAAGGGTGGTAGAACAAACTGGTACAAGTGCCAGAGTAATAAATTTTAGTTTACAAAAAAATAAAAGTATTGCAACAATCACCTGACCTGGTTGCATAAAACATAATTTACAAGCCAAAAATTTCAGTATTAGCCAGAAAAGAAAAAGGGCACCTGGGGAGCAACACCCTGAAGTCATAGGAGTATGTAACTCTAGTTAAATTGAGGACTGCAGCAGTTTATTGCGGACTGGAAATGACCCTAACGGTGATATCATGTTTATGACTCTGAGGCGCAGACACTGCTAGAAAGCCACCATGTGCAAGGCGATAGATTGGACACCAGGGAACATGCAATTGGTTATGGTTGTGTTATCTTTCCATCCTTTGACCAAATAAAAGTATGACTCACATCTTGTAGCATATCATCATTTCATTAGGAATATACACGACATGTAGGGTATTAGAGAAATAAGCTTTTGATATCATTTAATAACCAATCACTAAAATAAAAATGTCAACCACTTTCTGATGAAAGACATATTCTTAGACAACTGCCAAGGCAGGAAAACAACAACGTCCTTGATTTACAATCCAAGATCGATTCACTTGATGATCTTGTACCAGAACCTCGCAAAGAAGATTCATTATCATCCTTTGACTGTGTTTAGAAGTCCAAATTGAATGGAATAAGGAAAAAGTAATGAACAAGAGATTTTACGACAAACAAGAAAGAGAAAAGGAAAAAGAGAGGTCTGAGGAGGGAAACCAAAACCAGCAGGATGGCAATATCTCCTTTAAGTGCATATTATTCAACAACTATACAGTCTAACAAGCTAGCACATCAACGATTTCACCCGAAAGGTACCCAAATCAGTGATAGCCAAATGTGATACACACAGCAAACCACAACCAACCCAGCAACTGCCCTACCCAGAAAAGAAAGACAAAAACAATGAATAAAGCATATTCAAGCCTACCGAATCAATGAAGTCATCAGCAATCTCTAGAAGAAGATCTTCAACTTCAGGATCAAGCTTTCCATGTGAATCCACCTGAAAAATTACAATAGTGATTGCTCAACATCAATGAGCATAATCAGCTGGTGGAAAACTTTACAGTAGTAACAGTGTTAACCATACTATTAGGTTAGTCGGACTCACTCTCTACAGAAAAATTCTATATGATGTGATTGAAATTTGAAGTGAGTCTTTTGAAGTTGGGAGGGAGGACAGGAATGTTATCACTATCAGTATATGTAATCTTTCACAAAATTTCTGAAGTTGATTTTGGGCACTTCAAAACTAAAGAAGATATCCATATTTCTATTTGAAGTAACCAACATCGACAACAGGATTTTAGAGATTAATAAAGTGAAGTGGAGGAAGGACCTGTGAAACCAAATCCTGTATCTTTCTCTTTCCAAGAAGCTGATTGCTTGCTTCAGTCCCCTGACTTGAACTTCCCCCAGGAGTAGTTGTTCCAGATCCAGTAGCATCTGGTTGTGACCCAGTTAAACTGAGAGATTTTTGGCCAGCTGGGGCAACCATCCTTGGAGAAGACTGCTGCTGATGCAAAAGCTGCTGTGGCTGTTGTTGTTGCTGCTGCTGCTGCTGCTGCATCTGAGGGTGGCCAATCTGTTGTTGCTGTTGTACAATTTGGGATAGTTGCTGTGGGTTCAAACCAATTAAATTTTGATGCAACTGTTGAGATGAAGTTAATTGTTGCTGCATAAGCATTGGTTGCTGCTGCCTCTGCGGTTGAAGACGATAGGAGGGGGAATTAGGAGAAGAAATAGCAGGCATTTGCTTCAACCACTGCTGCTGTGATGAATTGTTCTGCATTATTGTAGATTGTCCATTCTGAGTCAATCCAGGTAACTGAGGGTTAATAAATGACGTCCTTGGAAGGTTCTGAACCGATATTTTCTACAGTAAATTGTAACATCAAAGTGAGCACTAAAAACAAATCGTTGCTACGTAATAAGGAATCTGACAAGAGACTATCAGATGTACATTAAATTCCACAAGAGGATTACATGTGATTTACCAAAAGGAGAAAGCAAAATTAAAGAAGTGAAGATAATTATGTAATTATGACAGCCTTAAATGACCATCAGCTTCAAATCACTAGCAAATGACGAAATCCACAACTCTAAAGCACTTTATAAACAAGACTTCATATTGGCATTCAATTAACTTGTGATTAGACAAGGATATTTTTGTGCCAGAGGTACATTTTCATTTATCTTAATATCAAGTTGAAAATTAACAAGACGAGTAAAGGAGCTCCCGTGCACCTAACTGAAATGTCGATAACAATATCCATTGGCTATGATCATTCTTTCCAGGAAAAGAAAATCACTCGCTGTTCTGTGCAAAGTATCAATTTTTTTTAAATAAGATAAAGATTTTACTGAAGTAGATACAAGAGGTATATAAAAGCCTAATGTTCTCTTTTCTTATAAGGTAATGAATTTATTATTATTAATGTATAGAAGCAAACCCCCCAATATGATTGTTTGCATCGCTTATCTATGAACCATCAATTCCTCAAACAGACACCAAGCTTCTCTTCCGCGCCTCAGAACATAACTATAACTCGCAAGTTCGGTGCCTACAGGTTAGATCGTCCACCTTGATGGATATTGTTATTTGTTATGTAGAGAATAAAGTGATTGAAGCAAGTAACTCAAAGATTGTTTTACCCAAAATTTAATCCAATTGGTATAGGGCTTGAAAACATAGGATTACCTAACAAATCACATGTAATAGAATGTACTAGAGGAAAGAAAAACTCGTCGAACTTGAATAACAGAACGAACATAAAAGCTGCTACTAAAAACGTAATATTAGAAAAAGATTGAGCTTTTAAGTTATAAAATGTAAATGCATCAAATCCCAAAGTATTTTACAGAAAGCAAATGGACAAACTGTGTTAATGATACTTCCTCTAGTACTAAATGTTCATAATTGGCACCTCCAGACATAGCTATTACAGCGTATAAACCGAGAAATAGCTGCATACTCAATGAGAAACTGTTCGTTCAGATATGAACGACATGCTGGAAATGTAGTACAAAAGAACTGTAAGAGCAGCAAACCTATGCTTCTTTGAATCAAATTCAAACTTTTCACAAGGATTTTTTGTCTTTACAAGGTTATTCTCATATACCACCTAAAGCTTTAACGCGCATTAAAGTTTTGTGCCACCTCAGGGTGAGAGTTTGTAAAGCGGTAGGTACAGTAAAAAATCTCAGAAGATACAGTACCATAGGCTAAAGGCTCTCTAGAAAGTAGTACCAAAAATATTCATGGGCATCCCATAAATCTCAATGTGTTAAAACTTGCAATACCCCTCATGTATTCATCACTCATCAGTGAGTAGTTCTTTGTCTCCTGATACTATGAAATGCCAGCACAAAGTTAAACATGAGCCTTTTTTTTCCTTTGGATAAAATTAAGTTAAGCATGAACCTTGTGCCAAAAATCAGCATTTATTTACTATATGCCAAGTTACTTTGAATGACGTTACACGTTTATGCATATGTGTCATTGTTGTGATTGCATAATCCAAGTATCCGGCTATCAGATTTCATAAACAAGAGTCATATCCTAGTTTTGACCTTTTAGTCAACAAAATACATTAGAAATTACCGAGAGCAATCTTTTACAGAAATATCTCGAAACAAACTCTCATGTGATAGGAAATGTCTAGGAGAATGAAAACACAAAAGATTCTCTTTGATTTGCTGCTATGACTAACGACCAAATTCATGACCTGAATGATTTGAAGAACAAATGCTGCGGACAACTTTTTTGGGTTACACAACCTGGAGAAAAATTTGCAACTAGATTTCTGAAAGAGTCGTCTCCAATTTTTACCACGGTGTCAAGTGGAAAAATATCAGAATAAATGAGAGGGTTAGTTTTTAGCATTAGAGATATGTTACTAGCATGTTCGAAGATTGGCACCTGAGCAGTGGTGAGAGGATTTTGCTGGGACAACTGCTGCCTCAACTGATTTTGATTGACCCTTTGTTGTGCATATGCAAGGGCACCATTTGCCCTTAACTGAGAGCTCATGTTGAGAGATCCCATCATTCCCATTGCCTGTATACCCTGCAAGGACTGGCCATGGGAATTCCCTGTATGAAACTGATTCCCCTGCATTAGACCTGCCTTCTGCCGTGGCTGCACCCACAATAGAACCCTTTTCAGAAACACATAAAGCAACAATGACAAATAGCAGTTGTGTCTTGAAAATAACACCACCATGTTGGAATGGACTATCTCATCTAAAAGCTTAAGCTGTTAGAGATAGCACACTTTTATTTACTTAATTGTGTCTCAACAAGTACATGGTCAAACCAAATTCATGCATTTAATGGCTCAAGAATAGAATTAGCAAAACATAAAACTGAAATTTGAAAGCTATAAGTGCTGAAGTGGTACCGGATTCAAAAATTGAGATTGCAAATTGAACTGGGCGACAGCTGCAGCAGCTTGTCCGGACAACATGGGAAGATGGCTAGTCTGTCCCATTAAAGCTGCCCTAGTTAAATTTCCGCTACCCATTTGGCCTCCTATTTGCTGCTGCTGTTGTTGATTCTGCTGTTGCTGTTGCTGTTGCTGTTGTTGTAGCTGCTGTTGCTGCTGCAATTGTTGTTGCTGTTGTTGCTGCTGCAATTGTTGTTGCTGTTGTTGCTGTAATTGCTGTTGCTGGAGGGCAGTACCACCGGAACCAAAATTCATTTGACCATAAAGCCCTCCTCCTCCTGATTGCTGCCTCATCAAACCAAATTGCTGTTGCTGCTGTTGCATTTGGAATTGACTCAACCTCGACATGGAAGGTGATCTCTGCATCTGAAAATTAGAGGCGGCGGCCATTAAGTTGTTATTATTACTGCCGTTAAGACTAGTAGAATTATTATTATTCTGCTGCTGTTGCTGCTGAAGCTGCATTTGTTGCTGTTGCTGCTGCTGTTGTTGTTGAGGTTGTGTCAATTGCTGTTGCTGCATTTGTTGAGGCTGCATCTGAATTTGCTGTTGCTGCATTTGTTGAGACTGCATATCAATCGAAGGAGATTGTGAGATAGAATTGTTGTTGTTAGAAGGAGAAGTCATGGTGATTCCAGGATCGGACGACGCCGTCGATGATGCTGGTGCGGCAACTAGGTTTGCAGGGTTGATTATACGGTTCGAAGGTAATTCGATTGTTTTGGGGGAAGAAGATGGAATTTCCGCCATTGTTTATTGGTTTGAATTGTGAATTAGTATCAATTGAGGGGAATTCAAATTCAGAAGAACAGAGTCATAGGCAACTTTGAATTTTCTCTGAATTTCCACATTTGGGGATTTGGGGACTGCGGGAGACTCCGTCGACGAACAAAGAAAGGCAAAACGCACAAGTAATTCGCAGTTCTGCGGGTCTCACAATTGCCCACGTGTAGCCTAGTAAGAACAGTTGGCAAGTGGGTAAAGAAAAAGTTCTGCAAAAATATTGGGAAGTGCACAATTAGCCACTAATAACACATGTATTTACTTTTAAGTTAATGTTTAAAATATATTTAGTCTTTAGCCACTGCTTTAATAAACTTTAAATGCCCGGACGAAAATATCCTTCAGCTCATGTCCTTAACTTTTGAACTTAACTTCAGGACTTGAGGACTACATCTCCTTAACTTTTGAACTTAACTTCACGACTTCAGGATTACATGTCCTTAACTTTTGAACTTGTAACTGTAAGTTCAGGACCAATTGTCACGACCCCAAATACCCCGGTCGTGATGGCGCCTATCACAGTACTAGGCAACCAACCAATCATTTACCACAACGAAATCTTTTATAAAAATCATTTTTCTAATATCGAATAAGTCTCAAATTCGTCATACGAAATAGATGAATAAAATAAAATATGTGAAAAAACAGTACAAAATACCAACATAGCCCATCAAAACCGGTGTCACTGGACAAGAGCCTCTAAATACAACTCAAAAAATGACTGAATAATACATCATAAGTCTGGAATAACAGAATACTGAGATAAGAAGGAGGAAAGCAGGGCTGCGAACGCCGTGCACCTACCTTGCGATCTCCGGAAATACTCTGAGAGTACTGGAAGATCTCACTCTGATGCACGAGCACCTGGATATTCACACAAGTAAGTAACTAAAGTACATAAAGTCTGAGTGCAGTGATGAGCATTTAAAAATCATATCTCAGGAAATCTCAACAGAAACATCAAGTCAAACATTTTCAGTTAAATAGTCAATTCACTCGTAAAATCTCCAGTTTAAATCAAAGTCTTTGAAATCATTATTCAACATTTTCAATAGAGGCTTAGTATAAAAGAAGAGTGAAAACAGTAAATATCATAAACAGGCCCCTCGGGCAAGATATCACTCATAAGTATAGCCCCTAGGGCAAGCCTCTCAGTCACTTGTGACTCGGTTCTCGTCACACAGTACCCACTCTCAGCACTCCGGCTCAATAATTAGCTCATAGTATTAATAATAATAATAATCGTTGCGGCATGCAGGCCGCTCCAATATATATATATATATATATATATATATATATATATATATATATATATAATTATATATTATAAATTTATTATGGATGTTGCGGGACCGATTCCACTAACAAAGATTCGGGACTACGGCTCAACTTGGGGAGAGTGTTAACAGACTTCCGGCAGGGGCTCTACAGGGACCAAAAGCGTCATATCACATGGCAACGGCAAAAAGGCCGATTCCAAAACAAAACGTGCCCCCCGGCTGATGGACCCAAAAGTCCAAATATATCGCTGTGGCGTGCAACCCCGATCCATATAAATATCGCTGCGACGTGCAGTCCGATCCATAATATATATATATATATATATTATATATATATATATATATATGATATCGTTGCGGCGTGCAGCCCGATCCATATTGTATATATAGGTCCTCAACCTCTCTCAGTCATTAACCTCACGGCCACTCGGGCACATTAGTAAAAATCAGAGAAACTCAGCCCAAACAGTTTTCATTTATTAAGAAGTAAAGCAATGAAACCGGGTTAAACAAATAAGCAGGTAAAACATGACTGAGGATATGCTTTCAAATCAAACAGAGTGAGGAAAGTAGTAAAAATACCCCTAGGGGTCTAAACAGGTCGGCACAAAGGCCCCAAACATGGCATTCAGCCCAAAATATAGCATAAGTCTCTAAAATACGGAATATCATAAGGTTTTAAATCAAATACGCGGCTTAATAGCCGCTATGGGATGGACCAAGTCACAATCCCTACCGGTGCACGCCCACACGCTCGTCACCTAGCATGTGCGTCACCTCATTTATCAAAAATAATACGAAATACCGGGGTTTCATACCCTCAGGTCCAGATGTACAATCGTTACTTACCTCAAACCGGATGAAATACTACTTCGCGATGCCCTTGCCTCTCTACTCGGCCTCAACTCGCGTCGAATCTACCCAAAATCAGAATCACAACATTAGAATATGCTAAGGGAATGAAGCCTATGCGAAAATAATCAAATTACAACACAAATTCCGAAATTGGCCAAACCCGACTCCCGGGCCCACGTCTTGAAATCCATTAAAAGTCACATCAATAGAATCCTTACATTCTCACGAGTTCGTACATATCAAATATACCAAAATTCGACCACAAACGACCTCTCAAATACTTAATCAAAGGTCTCCAATTTCAAGCCCTAGTTCTTCAATTTTTAACCACTAATTTTCATAAATTTCAAGCCTAATCAGTTAGAAACCATCATAGAAATAAGTTTATGGTCCAAAAACCTTACCTCCACAAAATCCCTCTTCAAAATGCTCCCTCAAGCTCAAACACGTATGTAAAAATGGTGGAATAACCAAGAATTCGCGAAGGAGGGTTTATATACTTTCTGGCCCAGGGTTTTCGCACCTGCGGCCCATTTTCCGCACCTGCGGAGCTGCTTCTGCGGTTTCCACTTAAAACCTCAAAACCGCACCTGCACATAAACTACCATACCTGCAGTCTCGCAGGTGCGACCCAACTTCCGCACCTGCGCCTTCAGCTCTTCTCACCTGAGGACATATTTTCCTGGTCGTATGATGATATGACTGGTCTCAGCACATCTATTGTAGCTCACAAACTGCCAACAGATCCGACATGTCTGCCGGTAAAGCAGAAGCTCAGAAAGTTCAAGCCAGACATGAGTTTGAAAATCAAGGAAGAAGTCACCAAACAAGTCAAAGCCAAGGTTCTCAGGGTAGTGGACTATCCAATATGGTTGGCCAACATTGTGCCAGTGCCAAAGAAGGACGGGAAGGTCAGAGTCTGTGTCGACTACCGGGACCTCAACCGGGCCAGTCCGAAAGGCGACTTCCCCTTGCCGAACATACATATCATAATTGACAACTGCGCCAAGCATGAGTTGCAGTCATTTGTCAATTGTTTTGCTGGGTATCATCAGATATGGATGGACGAAGAAGACGCAGAGAAAACGACTTTCATTACACCGTGGGGGATGTATTGTTACAAGATGATGCCGTTTGGATTAAAGAATGCCGGGGACACCTACATGAGGGCCATGACTACTATTTTCCATGACATGATACACAAAGACATCGAGGTGTATGTAGACGATGTCATCATCAAATCCGAGAAAGCCATTGACCACATGGATGATCTGAGGAAGTTCTTCAACAGATTGAGAAGGTACAACTTGAAACTGAATCCCGCCAAATGTGCATTCGGGGTTCCTGCCGAAAAACGGCTTGGGTTCATCGTAAATCGACGAGGAATAGAACTAGATCCATCAAAGGTTAAGGCCATTCAAGACTTGCCACCGCCAAAGAACAAGAAAGAGGTTATGAGTTTCTTAGGGAGACTCAACTACATCAGTCGGTTCATAGCTCAGTCCACTGTCATTTGTGAGCCAATCTTTAAGATGTTGAAGAAGGACGCCGCCACTAAATGGACTGATGATTGTCAGAAAGCCTTCGACAGAATCAAGGAGTACCTGTCAACGTCGCCAGTTCTGGTTCTGCCCGAACCAGGTAGACCGCTATTGCTCTACCTTGCAGTACTGGATGGGGCATTCGGTTGTGTTTTGGGACAACATGATGAAACGGGGAGAAAGGAGTAGGCCATCTACTACCTCAGCAAGAAGTTCACCCCGTACGAGGCCCGATACTCCCTGCTAGAACGCACCTGTTGTGCTCTGACTTGGGTAGCTCAGAAGTTGAGGTAGTATTTCGGTGCCTATACCACTTATCTCATATCAAGGATGGACCCGCTGAAGTACATCTTTCAGAAGCCCATGCCCACTGGCAAGCTAGCCAAGTGGCAAATCCTGCTGAGTGAATTCGACATTGTTTACGTAACTCAGAAAGCGATCAAAGGACAAGCACTGGCAGATCATCTTGCCGAAAATCCCGTGGACGGAGAATACGAGCCTCTAAAGACGTATTTTCCTGACGAAGAGGTCTCTTTCATAGGAGAAAACATTGCAGAATCCTATGATGGTTGGGGAATGTTTTTCGATGGAGCAGCAAACTTTAAAGGAGTGGGCATAGGAGCAGTTCTAGTATCAGAAACAGGTCAGCATTATCCGGTGTCCGCCAAGCTCAGGTTCCCGTGCACCAACAACATGGCCGAATACGAAGCCTGCATCTTAGGGCTCAAGATGGCTATTGACATGAACGTCCAAGAGTTGCTAGTGATTGGAGATTCGGATTTGCTTATACATCAGGTACGAGAAGAATGGGCGACCAAGAACTTCAAGATACTCTCGTATTTGCATTATGTACAGGAGTTGAGGAGGAGGTTTACAAAGACAGAATTCCGACATGTTCCCAGAATCCAGAATGAATTTGCCGATGCATTGGCTACCCTGTCATCCATGATACAACATCCAGACAAAAACTTCATTGATCCCATTCCAGTAAAAATCCGTGATCAGCCAGCCTATTGTGCTCATGTCGAGGAAGAAGCAGACGGAAAGCCCTGGTTCCACGACATCAAGGAATTCTTGGCCGAAGGAAAATATCCAGAGCTTGCAAATGCTACTCATAAGCGCACACTGCGAAGGTTATCCAATCACTTCTTTCACAGCGGAGGAATCCTGTATAGGAGGACTCCCGATTTGGGGTTGCTAAGGTGTGTCGAAGCAAAGGAAGCATCCAGGTTATTAGAAGAAGTTCATGCAGGAAACTGTGGCCCACATATGAACGGTTTCGTCTTAGCCAAGAAAATACTCCGAGCTGGTTATTTTTGGATGACTATGGAGACGGACTGCATCCAGCATGTCCGAAAATGCCATCGATGTCAGATACATGCGGATATGATAAAGGTGCCTCCCAATGAGCTTAATGCAACGAGCTCGCCATGGCCGTTCGCCGCTTGGGGAATGGATTTCATCGGACCTA